TTGGGGAAGGGGTGGGGGCGGAGAAGGGGCAGGGCTGGGGTGGGGAAGGGGCGGAGTTGGGGCGGGGCCGGAGTGTCCTCCTTTTTTTAAATTAAAATATGGTAACCCTAATGTTCAGTAACAGCTGAATCATCTGAGTTGCCCTATTCATCTCAATGAAGTGTTAATTCTCAACCTAATGATAACAATGTAAATACTAACATTGTTAGCTGTTTCACTGCTAATAAGTTTAGTATAAAACATCCAGATGTTGTGGGATTATGGTAAAGTACTCCCACTTTTTTCTCCACTATGACACCTGCTCAACAGCAATTCCCCCTCCCCCCAATCATTTATAATTTTATTAGTATCCAGCTAATTGTTTTTCAAACTTGGTCAAGGCTATACAGAACTCTAAAATGAGCTCTACTTACAAGCCAACTTTCAAAGCCCACCCTTTTTCAGTTATCTGCCTGGGACAGGGAAACAGATGATAATTTTTATACAGTGAGAAAAGTGAGTGTGTGTGGGGGGGGGGACTGGGGGGGGGGGGCGGGAGAGTGGGTGCCGATGGGGGTTTCAAATCCAAATGGCTGAATCAATTTTTCTCAAACTTCCAGGAACCAAAAAGTCATCATTTGGCTAAGGAAAAATAAATCAAAGATGTTAGCCCCAAAGGAGAGAGCTTCTGAAATGTAGAAACAAATGAAAATAAGGGATCATAATAGAAATGTAACTGCAAACTTAATTACAAAATTCCTTACCAATTGGATGCAATAAGCTATTCGATGGTCCTTATTCTTCCTTTGATATGCCTAAGCCAGCTCCAGTTGAAGTCAATGGGAATTGCATATGCATATCCAAGGGAAGATTTTTGTCACATTATCATTACTTAATCCAAATTTACTAGTTATAACACTTATTATTTGTAATCAATCCTCTTAATCAACATACCTCTAGATAGCAGTTGATGAACAACAAAATGACATTTCTTGTGTATATTTCTATTATTGGTTTCCCTCTTTTGTAATTGTGACTGGATCCCGGTATGAATCTACATGGAAATAGGATGCTGTCTTGTGAACAATGTATCAAAACCCAAATATTACCTCTTGGTTTGAGGGTGGGGGTGGAGGAAGGGATTAGAAAAATAATGAAAGCAGAAAAATGAAAGTTAGCATTATTTATTGAAATGATCTTTCCTCTATTATGCATACAGAAAAGTCCATGATAATCCACCTCCGTGATTGTGGTTTCACACACACACATTGGCAAAAGGAAAAAATTCAGAGCTATTTATTGCTTTTCATTCCAATTAAATCTCTCCAAATAAAGAAGTACACCCTTTTCCTGTGTACATTTTGTACCCTGGTGTGGAATAGCAAATAGGAAGCTACCTTTGTTGTATGTGTATCAGCTATTGCTCCAGTGCAAAAATAATCAGTTCTTTTGTTGGGCTAGGAAATATTAATGGAGGTGTTTTTTAAACAAAAAACCCCAAAACCTGAGCTCCTACTTTTACGACTTCTCCTGTGGATCAGATAAACATACAATAGCCTGTAGAGTAGTAAAAATAGTAACACAATGAAATGGCTCAATGCCTCATCTCCTTGCTTAAGATATCACTTACAGAGGGACATACAGAAAGATCTGCTTTTATGAAAAACCCTTCTTCCTATCCTCTTCACAGCCCTAGCTGTGTTTTTTAGGGGGGATTAAATATCTCCCCCTCCTCTTATCCTTATCCAACACAGAACACTTTTTAGGATCAAACATCTCTCACTCTGCACGCTTTGTTATTTAAATCAATAACTCCTAAGGTATAGTCCGTGGTACTGTGCGGGGGAAAAAAGGGATATCTACTTACAGAGCAGTAGCGGGCAGTCAATGTTTCTCCCTGGACCAGGCAGGACAGGGAGTCACATCCATTACAAATATGTAAGGAGAGCACCTGGCCCTACTTGTAGAGTAGCGCTGCGCAGCTAACCAGGGATTTCTACAGCCTGTGAAGGGCAGCTCTTCTGATTTCTTCTCTGCAGCCGGTATTGTGTGGAAACAGGCTGCTGCCTTCACAGCCTAGTGAAACCCCTCTGTATCATTTTACCATATAAGGAAAGAAAAGCATCAGAAACACTGGTTCTTTTAGGCTCTGTGCAGCTGGCATTCAACACTTTTTCTTCCAAGGATGTAGATTTTTTTTTCTCTCCCCCTTCCTAGCCACACTATCTTTGTTGGCCCTCTTCCGAAAATGGCTCCCCCTCCCCCCTCCCCGCACTTTTGCTTTTTTAACCCCGTGATGTTTGTTAGTAATGGAGCTTTGTTTAAAGCCCAGTGAGCTCAGCTTGCAGAAAGAAAGCCTGAGAGCCATTCAAGCACAAACCCTTCACTGATTTTCTCCTCACCTGGCTGGGAGAATGAAGAACTTGGTTAGAATTAGTATGAGAATCTGTTTGCACTGGCTCTTCTGACAGCTGTTTCACTCTTCTCTAAACAATGGCTTGATTTACATTGTCTCTCTTTCTAGGTACTTGATGGATAAGGTGCCTTGTGTTCTGAGGGGCATGTGTGTATAATGGGTGCCTGTGTCCATGTAGTCCTAGTCCTTCCTGCTTTTTTTACCCCCTTAGTCGGGGGGAGGAGGGGAGAGTAGAGGGAGGAAAGGTGAAGCAACTGAAATTCAAAATCCCCCTTGTGTAGTTGGAAGCCAAAGAAGCAGATTGTCTCAATGCACACTTAGGGAACCATACAGAGAACCCTTCCAATGGCCGCATGTTAAATAAAGGGGAAACCATTAATTCCAACATGACCAGGAAATGATTTCTCTACTGTCAAGTCTAGTTTCATATTTCAACCCTTATAACAGAAACATATTAACTTAAAAATAGTGTGTGTGCGGGTGGGTGGGGGGGTCCTCAGAAACCTCCCGGGGAGAAAAGAATTTGGATCCAAAGCACATTAGAAATGTTTATTCTCTACCATTGTGTGCAGTTCAAGTTGCTAATATTTCAGTAATGATGGACACACTCCAAGAAGGGTAAGTTGTTCAACTTAAAGAAAAATTGCCAGGATGAATATAAACCCCATAAACTTCCAGCTGGGAGCTACTGTTCGTGGCGCTGCAGCCCTTCCCTATGGATGACACATAGGTTTGTAGAAAAACAAGTGAAGTGCTTTGTTTTGAATAGCATCGGTGTGTACGTGTGTTAAGAAGACTTCTCCCATGTACAGTAAGGGATTCACAATCTTGTTGCTGCAGGTGCATCCTCCCCGTGAACTTGTACAGTTCTCTGCTCCATGCCTGAGATGAAACGTATCAGTAACATCTCTCTCTCACTTTTTTTTTTAAACAAAATCTACAAAGAGCCTGATCCTGCAGTCCTCATGCAGGCAAAATACCCACTGCATAAAATGAGTGAGCCTTATGCCCTTAGGAATAAATCCTACTTCCTAAATGTTGTTTGATTCATAGAAATGCTAAAAGGGTTGTCTAACCATATGCTCTTGGGACCTTTAACATACCTTAAAAACACAGGCAATGTGGCCTAGTGCATAGAGCACTGGACTGGGACTCAGAAGATTCCCAGCTCTGCCACTGACCAGTTGGATGACCTTGGGCAAATCACTTTGCTTCTCTGTAGCTTAATTTCCCAATCTGTAAAATGGGGATAATGATGTTGGCTTCCTTTGCAAATTACCTTGAGATCTATGGATGAAAAGAGCTGAAGAAGAGCTAAGACTTACTTCTTATTATCCTAAGTGCAGCAGTTTAAGATAACCCACTACAAATCCTCTTTGAACAATCCCCGATCCCTAGAGTTACAATTCCCAACCCAGTTCCCATTTTCAAATGCCTGGGTAAAAAGATGAGCCTGGACATGAGCCCTGAAGGTGATCAGATTTGGGATGTATGAGATGTATTTATGGGTCTCTCTTGAGGTAGCATTTTACTTGCTTTCCTCTCTTTCCACTAGTTTTATTTCCCTCCATCACCCTCATCCACTCACAGCAACCGCAATGCCAGCCATCTTTTAATGGTATTTCTGACTTGCTGCAAATTAATGTAATGTTTATAATTCTAAGCTATAATGTATACTGGCTGTAGCTGAGCTATGGGAATGAAATATGTGGGGGTGGAGGGCCACATGCTGCCCTTTAGATGATAAAAGAGCTTTGGCCAAGTATTTAATTAGCTTTCCAAGTTAGAAGGGCAGAAAAACTTCTATTGGCTTAGGCCCTGGTTGACTTTTTGGAGGCTTTGTGCTTGCAGAAGGACACTAGCAATGAATGGTCACATCCCTGCTTTGTTTTATTGGTAATTATTTTTTAATGGGACAGCGGAATCACACACCCCTTCTCTTCTACCACACCAAACCCATTGGCTCCCCCTCCCCCCACATTCCTAATTCTCATTCCTTTTCCGGGGGAAATTTGTCGTGATTTTGATTTCCACAAAGCTAGTCTGAGTTGTACCCATACTATTTTCTTGATATGTGTCTTTATTGTGATTTTTTTTTTTTAAACACCACACTCACTACAAAGTAAATGACAAAACCACAGAATGATACTATTGGCATGTGGGATGTTGCAGTTCACTTCAAGAATATTCCAGGGGCCATTTTGCAACTTAAACTAGATATTCTTGTAGTTTTACATTTAAAAAATGATTTTGCAAAGCAGGGAAATTGAGGTCCAGGCCTGCTCCCTCTAAAGCCAATGGAGTTTTGCCTTTGGACTTCAATGGAAGGAGGATTGGACTCATCACCAATATTCTCACAGATACTTTGCTTTAATAATTTAGTAAAGGGGTGGGGGGGAGAAAGCCTAGTGCAGAATTTCTTATTAGGCGGGGCCTCAACTGAGTAATTATAATCAGAATTTGCTTAAAATCGAATAGTTGTGTCAAATCCTGAGAGGTGTGCCCCTAAAACTCCTTTGGCCCAGAATGATTGATTAAGTACACACTAAGAACTGACTGTATAATGAGAAACATATTGCTTATGGAAGGGTACAACTTTACTTACACTTTACTATACCGTACAGTTTGCTTGGTGTGGATTTTTTAACACTATTTTTCCCATTGCTTCTCTATCGCGAGAGTGTCCTGACCAGAGGTGTCTGCCTGACCTTCAGCGTAGCCTTCGTCTGCAGTGAGAAAGGTCTGCTTTAGTCTCATATAAACTTGGGAATGGTCCACTTCTCACCCCAACACATGGGATAAATTTAGCCGCTCAGACTCTGTCTTCTACAATGAAATTTCAAACCAAGTTAGCATCTTTTTAGCGAACCATATTTAAACATTTTTCTTGCAAGAAAGGCACAATGACCCTGATTCAGCAAAGCATCTAAACATGTGCTTAAATCAGGGCCTACCCCAGGTTCCCTGGCTAGTGTGGATAAGGCCTATATTAATTATAAAATAGTTTGTAGAATTTGCAGGGAGCGGCGCTATAACCTGATTTCTGTATGGCATTGGTTAGCATGGCGAGAGGGCCAGGCCAGGATCTGAAATCTGTCTATCGAGAATCTCCACATAGGCAGGAATTAAATATCCAGATCATTTTCAAAATGCAAACTCTTCATTTTTTGAAATCAATATTTGCATGACTTAGGAAATGCAAAGCAGCAGTGCTTCAAAGACATGGTCGTTCTGATGTAACAGCAATGAGCAGTCCTTAAAAAGGGAGGCAAGAGGTCCATATACAATTTATTTATTTATTTATTTATTTGGACTAATAATACATATGCAAATTAAGCAGCTCTTGTACCGGCAGAGTAACTAATAACTATAAAATAACTAATTAATAAAATAACTTAATCAAGAACTTAAATATCCACTTTCCTCCCCAAACATTTTGACCTCCAGGCCTCTCCTCTTTTCCCCATAAATCTGACGTCAGAGATGAGCCTTGCAGCGTGTTCTGAAGTTTAAAAGACACCAGCTATTTTGTGCTTGTGAGGAGGAGGATTTCCAGCATCAAGAAGCCCTCACAGAGAAAAGCTCTGCCAGAAGCTCTCTTTCCTTTAAACCAGAGGGGCTCAGGCCAAATGCTTCTGGTGATCATAACTGCGGCAGTATACTATGCGGAACAGGCAACTTCTCACATAGGCCTTTAAGGGAAACTTATATTTGCATATCAAGTTAATACGACAGACATCTCTGCTGCTGATGCTGCTTTTGGTGCTTAAATAGCCATCTGCGGATGCAATCACCCAACTGGTAGAGTCCATCGCGCAAATGTAGACATTCAATTGCAAATGCATTTTTCTGCACAGATCTGATGAAAGTTTTCTAAAAATGTTAGAAGTAGCTGGCTTACCATACGGATTAATTAAGGTGCAGAACTGTAGCAGCTGAGCGGAGGAGGTTCAAAGTATTCGGTCTGACTTAGCTGTAGGAAGAATTCCTCAGGTGCCCTGGGCGAGCATGATGAACAGCACCCCTTCTTGAGAGGTGCAATATGTGCTCCCTACCACGTCTGCCTTTGGGCATCAAGAGGTACACAAGGGCCAGAGTCCTGGCCATTTCCTTGGCCTCACTGGCCACACTCCTGATGAAGCATGAAGTGCCATAGGGCGCACTAGCCTGTCTCTTGAGACACTCAGGGACTACTACAGGCAGTATTCCAACTGGTTCTTTCCTGGTTGCGTTGTGAGGGGTTGGGAAAGTGGTTCTTTCCCATGGGCTGGAACACTTGTGTGGGGAAAACAGAACTTAGTCCTGAAAGTATAAGTAGCATTAATTTCCATGCCATTGATTGTAAACATTTTATATAACTTATATGTAGCTTTACATCGAATTGTATTAGTTTGGGTTTTCTCAGTGGTATGTGTATTGTAGCAATTTCCCAGTTCTTGAAGTTGACAGTCATATTGGCAATTTTCTCCACTTTGGTTGAAAAAGCAAACAAAACAAAGGTTGAAAAAGGGGGCGGGTGGTGGGTAGTTATATGCCATTCTCATTTCCCCCCCGCTAAAGCCATGAAATAGCTTTAATTGAAAGGCCTGTGAAAATAAAAACGCAACGCTGCAAAGTTTGAAAACTGCTTAGTTTCTGGCTGATCCCATGAACTGCTGCTATATTCTGGAAAGTTTTGTGCTATCAAATTTTAATCAAAATTCAGCAAATCCCAGGATCCATTTAAGAAAACTGCTATTTTTGGCGTTAATGCTCAGAGAGTAATATGGAATCATGCAAACCTTACATTTTAGTCAAATAAGATTAAAACGGTCAAGCAATATTTAAATATTTCTGAAATTTCATCCTCATGTGGGAGGTTTCAGATGTTTAACATTCCCCGAACAGATTTGGAATACAGATTCATAGACTTTAAGACAGAAGGGACCATCATGATCATCTAGTTTAACCTTCTGCACATCACAGGCGACAGAATCTCACCCACCCAATACTGTAATAGACCCCTAACTTCTGGCTGTGTTACTGAAGTCCTCAAATCTTGATATTAAACACTTCAAGTTACAGAGAATCCACCATTTACTCTAGTTCAAACCAGCAAGTGACCCATGGCCCACGCTGCAGAGGAAGGTGAAAAACCCCTAGGGTCTCTGCCAATCTGGCATGGGGGGAAATTCCTCTCTGACCTCCTCCCCTCAATTCCTAGTTTAAAGCTCTTTTAATCAGTTGTGCCAGTCTCCATCCCACAAGTCTGTTTCCCTCCTTACTCAGGTGGAGTCCATCCCATGAGAATAGTCCTCTTTTCTTGAATGCCTCCCAGTGGTCAAACATCCCAAGTCCTCCGTATAGCACCACTGCCTGAGCCAGGTGTTCATCATCATCATCTTGTCTCCCCTTTCACTCCCCTTCTTTAGAGATGGGTAGAATCCCACCAAAGATCACCGGAGCCTCCATTTCTTTAAGCAACTTTCCTAGCTAGGCATAGTCTTCCTTGATGCATTCCATCGAGAATCTAGCAGTATCATTTGTTCACACATGAAAGACAATCAGTGGATTCTTTCCTGCTCAATTAGGATCCTCTTTATTCTCAGGTCCACATCCCGTATCTTAGCTCCTTGCAGACAGCACACACACCCTTCTGTTCTCCAGATCAGCTCCAGATCAGCTCTGTTGACAGGCCGGTCTGGTCTTCTTAGTAGGGAGTCGTCAATCATGTAGACCTGCCTCTTCCTGGTGTTGGTGCACTTCTCCAGCCTTCCTCCTTCTAATCTTTCTGGTTGCAAGTCTTCTTGTCTTCTGTTCACACTTGCAATCTTCTGCAAGTCATCCTCTATCCTTCTGGATCTCCAAACTTTGGCTATCTCCGTTGTCTCTTCTTTTCTTGTAGGACTAACTACTCTTTTCTTCTTCCTTGCCTTTCTGTTACTGCCTGCCTCTCCCCTTCATTTTACAACTCGGCAAACCTGTTCCTCAGCTCTGTTTCTCCTTCGCTAGCCAGTCTTTTCCTCTGCCTTGTTGTCACTGTCACATGCTTCCACTGGCTACTTTCTTCTTCTAGCAGTCTATCCTCACCGTTCTCTGGTCCAGTTTGCATCTGCAAGTCTTGAGTTTTCCTTTCAACCTCTTCTCTCCTTCCCTCCATCATCTGCTCAAATCTCCTTCGAAACTCAATCATATTTTCCAGCTGCATCTCCAAACCTCACATCTTCTCTTCTATCAGGCGGCACTTCATACAAAAAAGCATCTTTCAGGTACCCCCTCCAGGATAATGTACATCCCATAACTTCCACATCCCAGCTATCTCCCTTGTCTCTTCCATTCCTTGGATCCTTACCACTGCTGCTTCAGTAGCTGTTCTAGCCTTCCCTCCTAAGCTTCTGTCCAAAAAAACCAACTCCCCTCCCCCCAAAACCCAAACAGAACACCACACACACCCTCCCCAACTTCCCGGGCATACTATCATTCAGATTCCCCTGTTTTCAGCTCTGCTTGCTGGCTCCTCTGCCACTGCTCCCGTATATGCAATATATAAACAGATTTTTCACTGTATTTCTCATTTTCCCTCCTCCTCTTCAAATCCCCAGTTGCAACTCCTATTTGCAGTAATCTGAATTTTTTCCCACTGAGTTGATATAGAGCCTCTGGGGCAAGCCCTCAGCTGGTGTAAATCGTCATAGCTTGATTTCAATAGACAGCTGAGGATCTGACTTCTGAAAGACTCAAGACTTTTTCTTCTGCTGGGAGGAAACCGTGCTGCAATTTATTTCTAAACCAACCTGAAAAGGGTTGTATTTTTAGGAACTCTGGGCAAACTTGGAGAAATCATATTTCCATTCAATAAAGTTTGTTTTCTTAACGTGTTGGAATAGTTTTCACATATGGTCTTTAACAGTTACTCCTTTGCTTCAGTGAAAAATGAGAGAAAGGTACTCATGGCTTGGTAGCTTTCAAGAATGCTTATTTCAATATAGAGGGGAGAACCAGTTATCTCACTGGGCTATTTCTGAAATGTCAACTATTTCCTCAGAATATCTGTGCATTGTTACTATGTTATAAGATAGGCAATATCAACATTAGGACATTAGGAAAAAGTTCCTAACTGTCAGGGTGGTTAAACACTGGAATAAATTGCCTAGCGAGGTTGTGGAATCTCCATCTCTGGAGATATTTAAGAGTAGGTTAGATAAATGTCTATCAGGGATGGTCTAGAAAGTATTTGGTCCTGCCATGCGGGCAGGGGCCTGGACTCGATGACCTCTCGAGGTCCCTTCCAGTCCTAGAATCTATGAATCTATAAAACTGTAATAGTTTAATTCATGATAACCAATCTCCAGTGGAGACTGAAAGTGAGCAGGCCAGTGTGACACAGGCCAACTAATGACAAATTCCTATTTTAATGATGCTCTGAGCCTTGGGCAGCCAGTGAGGCTAAGGCACCGCATTAAAGCAGCTAACCGGTCCCATACTAGGCGAACAGCGCTGCCAGAAGAGACCCCCTCAACTCTGCATGGAGCAAAGAGAGCTAAGTTCTCATGGTTCCAACTTACATCTGAGCCATAGTAGTGAGTGGAAGGAGTGGCAAAAAATTCCCTGAGCAGTGAGTGTTCAGGGCAGGCTCCATGCTTCTCTCTTTATATGCTGAAGGAGGAGAGACTGATCCTATGGAATAGGGCCAATGCATGGAGGGGAGGAGGGAAGAAATGTCATTTCCATCACATGCTCTCTTCAC